GGGCTACATGGGTAAAGGCCCAGGGAAGTAGCAGCAGCAAACTGGATGCAGTGATACGTGTTTATAGGCTCCCTGGGTTGGGACCCAGCATATTGGGTGGTCTCCCCACCGGCCTACTTGCAAAGTGGCCAAAGCCCTGTGAAGGGGAAAAGGCTGTTGGGAAGCCCAAGTGAAGGGCAGGACTTAGAGGGGCCCAGAGATGGGGCTGAGGGCAGACAGTGTGTCAAACACTTTGCTACTCTGGAAGCCGTTCATCCATTTTACACTGAGTGACTTGGCCGGAGGGCTGAGCCACTGAAGACCTACAAAGCAAGATCGACAACCTACAGGTGGCGCCTGGGACAGGAAAGACTGCAGTACCACACCCAGCCAGTGGGGGGCACTCAAGAGGTGAGTGCCTCATCATATTGAAGAAGCCCCAACTTGTCTCATTGAAGTCTGAAGGGGGAATTTGGCTCCCCCCATGACACAAGCAGCCAGTCAAACCTAAAAGAATCTAAGAGCCATAGTGTGGTGGCATGGAGGTCACCACGGTACACTCCTTTCTGTCAGGCATGGTGCCACAGGTTGATCTCATTAACCAGAGCCATTGCCATAAATAGGAGCTTACTCAGCTGCACCCAGGGACACTCATCTCTCCCACTCAGTCCAACAAGCAGCCTCTGGCCCCTTCCTTCAGGAGACACGTCTTTCCGGCATCTGTAAATAGTCTCTGCTTCTGGAATCCTTTTTGGTTCCTTCTCTGGGTTACTCCTTTCAGACCTTCCTTAATCAGGAGTCTCCTTTGCAAATGGGCTGCATTAGTTAGTCCCTGACTGTTCTCCTTAATCAGGAGTCCCCCCAGCTCTCCTCCCTGGAGCTGAGTTCTCTTAATCACTTTCTCTAGTCCTTCTGAAGTAAGAGCTGTCCTCTCCTGAGCTGAGTTATGGGTTATCCAGCCATAAGGCCTTTGCCAGCTTCTCCCTCAGCTGGCCCCTTTCCCTTAGTCTTTAGGCTTCAGACTGCTCAGCAAGCTAGTTAGTATTCCTGGTGCCTGCCCTGCTAGGAGAGAGGAGGCAGCCTTTATGCTGGTCCCCTTCTCCCAGCTCATTCCCAACTGGCCGGGGAGGAGGAGGAGGGAGGGGACCCTTGCCTTCCCCTCTCTGCAAGGTTCCTGGCCCTTAAAGAAACACTAACAGTATTTCCTCCAGAATACTTCTTATTCCTGGGACTGCTTCCTTTCTCCTAATATCTCCCAGGTCCTTGTATATATAATTGGGCCTTTTAAACTCTTAAAGGACCATGCCACATGGGCTGACCATTAGGCCCTACTACTCTTAAGGGCAGACTGCTCCATCACACATAGTAAAAAGGGTAATTTATAGAAAATTAAATAGACTATGGGGAAGTTCTACTTTGGGCTCACTTTAGTGCAAAATACCAGATGAGAGCAGGAAGGGAAAGATAAACTAACCATCTCATATTTATTTTATGCAGAAAAAGCAGTCTCAAGTTTCCACGATGGAAAGTTCTGTGCATATCTGAAAATCTGCATCTTGTCTCAATATCATTGTCTGAGTTCTGCTTTCTGAGATGGCTATGTAAGGTTTTGTTGTTGTTGTTTGTTGTTTTAAAGTCAAATCTGAAGTGTTATAAGGCCAGTTTCAAAATGTGCCGTGCTTGATTGGGGTTGTAAACTCTATCTGCTTTGAATGGTCAGTAACTGCTAGTGGCTTCCAGCAAACTGTGATTATGAACCACAAGATTTTTTTAGCCCAGTGTGGAGTTAATGCTTTATTCTCTTGGTGGTGAGCAGCAGTACCAGTATATGCTCCTGGGAGCGAGGGAAGAAATAAGCCATGAAGTTCCCATCACTCTGAAAAGCAGAAACATCTGTGGGAGGCCCAAGAGCCTTGCTGGCAGAGTTCAGCTACAAAGCCTGTAGTTTATCAGCTTTCCTCTCACTAAAGAATCAATATGAACTAGAACAGAGGATTTCTGGGGGCCATGAGCAGCATTCAACTAGTTAAAAAAAATCATGTAAAATCCAGGATTTTCCAGATAGAAATTTCTGTCACAAGTCTATATAGCTGGTTCTCCAAGGAAGCCTAACAAATCAGCTCTCTGCTAAAATGTGAGTAAGAAATAGACAGAGTCATTACTGAGAGAAAGGAGATATAGATTCACTGCCACTGAGTCACTCTGTGTCCTTGAACAAATCACTCCACCTTGCTATGCCTCAGAAATACCTTTTGTAAAATAGGGATAATGAAACTTGCCTATCTTGGTGAAGGGATTTGAGATGTATGTGAAAAGTGCAGTATCAGAACTAGTATAATTAATTATTTCATGTAGAGATGGGCCTACCCCACAATCTTGGTGTTTTCCATCCAAACCTGAGTCCACCCTTACTGCTGGCCCTTCACTTCCTTTTCACTATGAGCAGATCCAAACATTACCATACTTTGGGGGATTAGAAATCCAGATCCAAATGTTTGTGGCTCAGGCTTATCTCTAGTTACATCAGATAACTAAAATACCTGTGATGATCAAGTACTGTAGCCCAAGCCATCTGGGTGCCCAAACATATGTGTACTTGGAACAACCAGTTGGAAAATACCCAAAGTCTTGTCTGATCAGTCTCCAACATCACTATGTTGGAAACCCCCCTTGTCCCCTCTGATACAAGAGGAAAGAAACTACACAAAGCAGGGATGATGGAGGGGCTGGATGATCCTCAAGGAACCATGCTGTCAGGGGGAACAGTAGCCGACAGAGCAATGCAGAGAAGCCAGTCCTATCCACACAACCTTCTGCTTCCCCAGCACTTGGGCTCTTCTTTCCCATATCCCTAGGGTAGGGAGTTCAAGCCATACCACCTGCATCTGGTGTAAGATAGTTAGGGCACCAAACTGGAAACTAGAAGAGACCTGGATTCTTTACCCATCTCAATGCATAGAATGACAATGGGCAACACACTTCACCTCTCTGCACCATAGTTCTCCCAGCTGTAAAATGGGGATATTTGTACCTACAGTCTTTGTAAACTGCTTGAAGATATATAGATAAATAATATGTGTTTGTAAGTGCAAAATATTATTATTGTGCCTTGCCCATCCTCAAGAAAGATGAACTCTAACTGGAACAGGTGCAGAGAAGGGCTCCTAGGATGATCAGGGGAATGGAGGGGCCTACCTTCTAACTGGAAAAGCTTGGCTTGTTTAACCCAGCAAAACAAAGACTGCAAGGGGACATGATTGCTCTCTAGAAATACATCAGGGGGTAAACACCAAAAAGGAAGAAGAGCTATTTAAGCTAAAGGACAATGTTTGCATAAGAACAAATGGACATAAACTGGCCAGGAATAAATTTAGGCTAGAAGTTAGAAGAAGGTCTTATAACCATCAGAGGAGTGAGGTTCTGGAACAGCATCCCAACAGGAGTAGAAGAGGCAAACTAGTTTTAAAATGGATCTTGATAAATGATTACCAGGATTATTTGATAGGGTTGTCTGTGATAGCAGGGGACAGAACTCGATGACCCAGAAGGTCCCTTTCAGTTCTGTGCTCCTGTGCCCTCTTTGTATTTGCCAAACCCCTCCCAACTGAGGGGAAGATTCTCTTGGAAACTAAACCATTTGAATTCACCTCAGTGATTTTTCAGTCTCGTCTGCGTAACCAGTGTTCAAGCTGTCACAGTTCCAGCAGCAGTCCAGACAGAGCCTGAGACATTAGGCAACATCTCAGCCATGGTGCTGAGGAGAAAAGAACCCAAAATACAAACACATTGATTTAAAAATATAGAAAAGATGGAAAGAAATAAGGAAAACAAATATCTCTCTTCTCTCCCCCTTTCACTTTACAACAAAAGCTATGTTTCCCTTTTATTTGGTTTAATCTTCTGAGATCAATGGGCACTTCTGTCTGCACTGGAAATATTTCATTGCAGAATGTACATGCTCAAACAGCAATGGTAAAGTTATATTTGTATTCTTTCTGAGCAATGGGTGGGAAAGATTTTCTCTCTATTACACACAGTCCATCATCTTAACTCAGTGTGGGGAATGTGCAAAGTCAGTGGGTTTTAAACATTTAATAGAAACTTTTCTCTTCTTTTTTTTAACATTTTAAAGTGCCTAGGGACAGATGTGCTGGACACATTGAACATGTCTAGTTGTCCACTTCTCATTGCACTACACTGACAATGTTGTTAACTCTCATTACTATATAAATAAGATTGAAAGGAAGTAAGACTTTGCATTTAGGAAGTGTCTTTCATCCAATAATACTTAGGACATATTCAATCATTTTACAACGTATTCAAGCCTACTAATACTGCTGTAGAGGCAAGCAACTACTATTGTACCCTTCTTCTGGACTGGGAAACTGAGGCACAGAGAGGCTAATGGTATCTGGCATGTTGCAAATAAAACTGGGTACATTAACAAAAACAGTTTCTTACAGGTAGGTGTATGTACCTAATTGCATGGATTTGAAATAGTATGACATTGGGATGTAATGTTTTTATAGGTATACCTTTAGGTGTAAGGAGTTCATAGAGTAAGGGGAGGCATCCGTTCTGGTTTAGTGTTGAGTTTGGTTGGTGGGGAGGAGGTTATCACAGCTGAAGGTGGTATTTGCAGCCTGCCCTGGAGATCTGTAGGTGGATGCCCTTTGCTGCCTTAAGGAGGCTGAGAGGGGGAAATAATGTTTCTGTGTATACTGAGGTGGTGGACTCCCAGTAGAGAGATCAGTTGCAAGGAATTTGATTCATGAGGTCCTGAATCCATTTGAATACACCCTCTTCTGGTGTATCAATGTGAACAGGTTAAGAGTGCATTTCATTCTCCTAATCCGTGCTCTGTGTGTTATACCCAGAGTCACACATTGCCCAAATTAGGAGAGGTTTGTAATTTATAAATGGGGAGAGTTCTTTCCCTGTAACTCCACTTTTTTCTAGTTGCCCTGTTTCATTTAAATTATTTTCAGTGCATTTATTGGATCAATCCTATTTATTCAAAGATGCTGCATGCAGGGTTGCCTGAGCTGAACAGCGTCCAGGATTTGAAGTATGTGTATGATAACCTTCGTCCACATGACTCAGACCTCCAAGCCACGAGCCACTTTACCAGGTAAAAAACAGAAAACAATTCAGAAAGTATGCCCTCTTTTAGGCTTAAAGAGACACTGCCAAATTACAAATCATAGGCTCTGTTGATCTATGGAGTTAGTCAATTGAAATCAATAAATTACACAAAGGATTAATTTGTCTCTAAACACAAACACGCAAACAAACCCTCTCTTTATGCACGTCACTAATAACTCCTTAGATTATGAAAGGAGTTGTTCATACCTAACTTATTTTCCGTTACTGAAGTTGCTTACATTTTTTGCTCAGCTTGCATATTGTAACTACCCTATTATATTTCTTGTTGGCTTCGCTCTAATGCACTGTGACAATGCTGCAGGGTTTGGACTGCAAGCATTTCCAGTGACTGTTTGAATCTTCTCGTTCAAAGAGCTGCTTCTTTGAGTTCCGTGAAGAATGTGCTTTTTGTGTAGGTTTTTGTAAAATGTTTTCAAAAAACTGTGAGAATCAATGTGGCCTTGCTGCTAGAACACTGGGCTGAGACTCAGGGGATCTCGGTTCTGTTCCTGTCTCTGCTGGGTGACCTTAGGTAAGTCACTTCACCGCTCCGTGCCTTGGTTTCCCCATCTGTAAAATGGGGTTAATTATATTTTCTTCTTCTTAAGCACTTTGAAATCTACAGATGAAAAGCACTATATAAGAGTTAGGTATTATTAATAATCGCTTTGCAGCTTGATTGGTATTCGCATAATATGAAACTTTTCACTTCTAGCTTGTTGTTCGGATTCAGCTAGGATTGGTAGGGACTGAAGGTTAATGGCAGTTTAGCAGTCTGTACGAAACAAGTTTGATGTCAGTTCTGTCTTTTTGTGGACAAGCATCCACCACCAGGGCCAGATTAACTCTCCTGTGGGCCCGGGGCTATTAGATTTTGTGGGCCCCTGTATACAAGTCTTTTTCCTAGGAGGAAGTTTAGTGCAGGAGGGGGCTGGGGCAGGAGATTGGGGTGCAGGAGGGGATTCTCACCTGGGAGAGGGGATTAGAGTGCAGGAGGGGGTGTGGAGTCTAGGAGGGAGTTTGGGTGCAGGAGGGGATTCTGACCTGGGGTAGGGGGTTGGGTGCAGGAGGGGGTGCGAGGCACAGGCTCCAGCCGGGAGGTGCTTACCACAGGCGTCTCCTGGCTGGCATTCAGCAGGGCTCAGGCTGCATGCCATGGCCCCACGCCGCTCCTGGAAGTGGCTGGCTGCTAGCATGTCTCTGCAGTCCCTGGGGACAGGGGGAAAGCGTGTCTCCGTGCGCTGCCCGTGCCCACAAGTGCCACCTCTGTAGCTCCCATTGGCCAGTTCCCAGCCAATGGGAGCTGCGGGGACAGTGCTGGAGGCGGGGGCAGCACACGCCACCGCCTCCCCCCCTGCCAGGGGCCACAGAGATGTGCCAGCAGCCAGCCACTTCTGGGAGCGGCGTGGGGCCATGCCATGCAGGCAGCCTGCCTGACCGCCCCTTTTAGTGGCCTGGAGTTTGCTGCCTGTGATTTATTTTTGCAGGGCTCCCCTTGAGCCGGAGCCCTGGGCTGTAGCCTCTAAAGCCCCTGCCTTAATCCGACCCTGTCTACCACATAGAAATCCCCACTGCAATTGGTGCCTTTCTCTCAATAGATAGGCCAAGCCCTGAATGCGCTTGTAAGCTGAATGAGCCACAAGTGTTGAGGCCCAGCCTGGGGAAAGCTCACACTGTCACAGCTTGCCCTGTGCTTGCTCTTGGGAAAGACGAGCACAGCGTATTGCCGAGCACCTTTGAATACAACCAAAGGCAATATTAGAATTTTAATAAATGAGAGAAGGCCCTGAACCCAAACAATTGAATCAAATGCATTGCTCCTGTTAAATTCTCTCTGGAATTATCTAGATGTGCACCATGACGTCAGTTTGAACTGTGTTACTCAGACTTGTCTTTATGATGTGTCGAGAACAGAACATGGAAACAATACACTCCCAAAATTTGGAGAAGTTTGAATCGAGATACAAAACCTTTGGGTCAGACCACAGTAGTTTGGAACTTCCAAAATTAAATTTTTCTATTATTTTAGAACACAGCAGAGTCCCCAACTCCTCGTTTTAACCCCTAGATTTTCCTTATTTCCCCATTGCCCTTTGATTACATAGTTTCAATTGTTTTTAATTTCTGCATGACTGTGACGGTGACTGTGACTCACCACCGCGGCGCCTCCCACTGGTCTCTCTGGGAATTAGCTCAGTCCATGGGAAGCACCCTCTTATGGTGGTTTCCTGTCCGTCTCTCGCCCTCGCTTGGCGCCTGGACCCGCATTGCTCCCTTCTGCTCGCGGCGCCTCCTTCAGGACACTGCCCTCCGGCAGTGCCCCCTAGTCCGTTCTCACCCTCTTCCAGGGGCCTAACAGCAGTCTTTCATCTGCCACAGTGGCCAGCCGCTCCCAAAGTCTAACGCCTTCCCTCAGGGGTATGGTACGATCCAATATGGCCACTTCCCCTGGCCAGTTGCAATATAAGGGGGGGACCCAGACCCACCCACTACTCTGGGTCCTGACCCAGGGACTCTCTAGCGGCAGCCTCCCTGCCCTCCTTCTCTCCCCTCGCTTGCTGTCCACTCTCCCTGGGTCACTTCCCCTCTGACCCTTTTCACCCTTTAGGCCCTTCCCTCAGGGCCTGCAGCCTGGCAGGTGGTGGGCTGGAGTTCCCTTCAGCTCCCCTGAGCCTGCCCAGCACTGCACTGTCCCAGGTGCTGGTCTCCTAGCTCAGGAGACAGACCTTCCCTGTTAGAGGCCTGGGAGAGACTGACTGCTCTGCTCCTGGGCAGCCCTTATACAGGGCTGAGCTCGGCCCTGATTTGCCGCCTCCTGCCCAGCCCTGATTGGCTCCCTAACAGGCCCTCCCTGATTGGCTGCCACTTTGCACAGCCTCTCTGGCCTGTCTTAGCCCACTTTCACAGGGAGGTGGGGCACTCGCCCCACCACAATGACATTTAAGATCAGTGTTGATCCCATCTCCTCTAATCCCTACTCACTCCCATCTCCTCACAATTTAAAGTATTGCCAAGCTGCAGCCTTGTATACTGCAAGCACAGAGTAAAAACAAGTCCTGTTAATAGTAATGATAAGTTACATCCATGCATCCAACAGGGAATAGATCCCTTAATGATTTCCTCACAGTATAGCTGTATGCTTTCAGTGACTTGAAACAAAGGTCTGATTGTTAGAATTACTGTCAAACAAGATCTTAAAACCCTGGAGAAATGTACAATTTTGCTACAGTGCATGTTTTTTCTCTTTTAATGTAAATGAGGTTTGTTTGCGCTGTCTGTGCATGTTACTCCAAGAAAATGCTCTCATTTCATCAGTTTAAATAAGCTTCATGGAACCAGTTAACTCATTGTCTGTTTGTCCCTATTTTAAATTTCGAATCATGGTTTAGCACATGTTAATTAACATGTTTTAACTAACACGTTTGTAAATTTCAATGTGGACAGGATGCCAAGACCTGTTGCTAGTCATGCTTAAACATATGACAGCCTCACTCTGCCTGTGGAGTGTTGTGCAGCCCAATATCCCTGTAGGGCTGAGCACTCTGAGCATGGTCCCTCGTGCCCTCAGCCTGCCTCCTACGCTATGGATGATTACACTGCTCCTTCACCAACAGATTTCTTCCACAGCCCTTTACTGCCCTTGTATGAAAGGGCAGAATGGGGATGAGAATCCAACCATGGAAACTTCTGGTTCTATAGTTTGGTAGCACTGTATATTATTATTTCTAGTCATTGTAGATAATAATAATGCTTTAAACAAGACTCTCAAAGTACTTCACTAACTTGATTTTTTTTCATGACATCCTGTGCAGCTGGTGATGAACCCTCAGTGAAAACTTAGATGGAGAGAATGGTAGATAAGTATTATTATAACCTTTTTTCACGTAGGTCAAGTGATTTGTCCAGGATCACATAGCAAGCCAGAGGTAGAGATCAGAAGTCCTCACTCTCTCAGGGCAAGTCCATAGTGCAATCATGGGTTGTATACCTAATCTCGGATACCATGCGTCAGCATGGGCTTCAGTGTGGGCTATATAAACCCACCCAGAAAATTGGGTAATTATTTGGGTGGGGCACTGAAATCAGTGCTGCTGCAGCTTCAATGCTCCAGTTTCCGAGCTAGATAAAGTATGTTTACACTGCATTTATGGGGTGTGGTTGCAGCTCATGTACACATACTCAAACTAGCTTTAATCTATCTCCTAGTCTATCGAACTGGAACACCTTGACTCCAGATGTTACTTTGTCTTTATTTTCTTAGCTACTTCAATAAATGTTCATTATTTTTAAAAAGTCCCTGTCACGGGATTGCTGGCCCCTTTAAGCGAAATCTGAGCTAAAGCTATCCTAGAAGAGCTAATTTAAAGGGAATGAGCTTATCTAGGCAGTTAGTTGAATAACGAACACCTGAGCCTGATAAAAGGTCGCCAGGGCTCAGTTGCAGAGAGATGCTCACAGAGAGAAGCTCTCATAAGGGAGAGGAGCTCCCAGAGACCAAGGAAGAGGCAGTGCAACCCATGAGCCCAAGGGAAGAGACTTCATTTCCATTTAATAAAATAGAACCCCATCAGGGGAAATGTCTTACATCCCTTCAGATTATGTAGAATTCTTAAGGGGCCCTGAGAGAAAGGAAAGTGAGGTAGATAGTGCCTGCAGTACTAGCTCAGCAAAGATGTGCTACAGTGCAGACACAACTTGTGACAAGTGGTACCAGAAGTGGGATTCTGAGATCATCTCCCATCAAGGAGGGATGACTGAGTGGCACAGTGCAGACACCTTTCTTGGCTGTGAGATTTTGATCCTCCCATGTCAGCATATGGAGGGGCAGCCACAGCTGTTGGAGTTCAGCTCCATTTTGGGCGGGGGGGGGAAAATGTCTGAGCAGCCTCAGAGGCCTGTGAAGGAGGTTCCACAATGGTAAAGAGTCAATTGTCATCAACACCGAAAGGGAAGAAGACACAGGGCTCAACCAACTCTGTTTTGACT